TAGTAGCGCTGCCTGCCTTATGGTGAACTCTACCTCATACAACCCACTGCTCAGAAAATGTTGCGCATGCTCAAGAATATATATTTCTGGTTAAATAAAAATCTTCGGGCACTTGTTTGTCCTCATTTGAAATTTCTAGTTCAGAGGACAATAACAGGAAATCCTAGTTGAATAAAAATTCATTAAAGCCAGGCTTTTCTCAAAGTGGTCGCCAGCGCCGTTTAGGGGGGGGGGTTAGCGTCGCATATTGGGCTGTGGGGCAGAGACGGGCATTATTGGGGGTATTATTGCATCTTTGACTATCCCAATACGCCTAAAAATTTCAGTGTCGAATTTATCCTCTGTGAAAACATTTCCTAGATATTTAAATTTTTGTACTGATTTGGTTTTGGTATCCCCAACTTGTTATTCGCACTTTAGGCTCATCATTTTTCTAACAATCATGCATTCTGTCTCCTTGTTTTCTTTCAGTGACTGCTATCATCACTGTCATCTGCATAACTTATGCTGTTAAGATTGTAACTGCCATTAATGAATCCAGGTAGGACATCTAATTTTCAAAGAATCCTTATCATTTCTAAATATTGCCGTATGATAGATTGTGATACGTTTAACAATTATGTTAATTCCCTGTTGTTTTTTTTTAACATGAATAGAGGTTTATACCATGTTTCTTGTTTAGGATCGGGTTTCCGGTTCCTTCCAAAGTAGACTTTAACTCTATACGTCTAACGTCTTCACCTAAACTCCTAATTTTATTTAATAACTATTTATTTTTCTTAATAGGAGTAGATAGGTTCGCCAATAGCCCACTCATACCTGGACTTTTGAACGGGACTAGAAGTTTAACTCTAGAAATTTCGAGAATTCTCCCGAATAATTGTGATTTGCAAAATGCTGAAAATAGTCATATATAGGTGCTGCCAAAGTGGGCGCATTTTTATCGAAATGAAAAAAAAAAAAATGCTACACCTGCTTTTAAAAAACTACTAAAAGTCAAGGAATTATCCAAGTTAAATGAAATGTCCAGTAGTAATGAATGAATGGTTACTAAATTAGTTATTTTATTAAGACGTTTTGTAGATATAATTTTGGAGAGTTCGTTAACCCCATTTTGATATAATGTGAAAACTTTGAAAACTGAGGTGCGATGATAAATATTTTTATAGACTTACTAGCAGCATGGCCCGGCGTTGCCTGTGCTTGATTCAAAGATCGTACAACTCATACAGCAATCACTATCACTTGACTTAAAATATTTTTGTCCTTCCTTGCCTTTAAAGGAGTGTCATTTTCCATGCTGATGTTGCTACATGTCTTTCTTCTTGCCTATCTCACACTCCAAATTTTTTCTAAGCTCGACACTAAACATTAAATCTGTTACGGAAAAAGAACTAAACAAAATGGACACAAAACGATCGGCTTTAAAAAAGGACTCGTAACTGGAAAAACTGAATGAAAAAAGAATGTTAACAACAAATACTTTTTCACCCCCAACCCAGTTCTGCGGAATCAGAATCAACGTTGAGTTGAAGCAAGCGAATGAGCCAATTGTAGTAAAGTGCCATGCAGATTTAAATTTTTCCCACTTGTGACGAATGCAGCTATCGACTTTTTTGGCATGCTAGCATGCTAGTTAATATTCGTGTCAGTCAGCTGTTGGCTCTCACGCTGGCCAATAGAATCTTCCTGTCTATTCGTGGCAGCCAGATATGCTCTCACTCTGGCCAGTACAAAATGGCCGCAAACTACATGTATAGTGTCGTAGAAGCATGAAAAAATTGATTATTTCCACTATCGATGGGAAGTCAGTCATGGCCTTCCCTCTAACTTGGAGCATGTGCATCTAAATTTTGGTACAAATCCGTCGAAAATTGAGGCCGTGCATTCGTTACACACACACACACACACACACACACACACACACACACACACACACACACACACACACACACACATCCTGCCTTTTATAGATAGAGATAATGAAAATTCCAGAAGATATTATTTCAGTAATTTTTTTTCATTTTTTGACAATATCGAACCAAGAAAATCTTGAAAATCTGTCCTGAAAATATACAAAAATTTTTTAATAAAATTAAAAAAGTAAATTTTGTTGAGAGGTGGTACTTTCTTGATTTAAATAAAGCAATATTTTCTTGCATATTTGATAAGGGTGGGGAAGTCTACAATGAATATTTATTGTTGAAACACATTCTTGTAGTTTTTCGGTACGATTTTGAAATTCATCTGGTTGCTGATGATAAAAATTATCTCTTTTTGAATTAAATAAAAAGGTGTTTGAAGAATTAAAAAACATGTGACGTTTAATGCCATTTTTTCATCGGAACTATTTTAAAAGAATTTTATTTTATTCTTTTCAAAACTGCTGAATTATTTTAGTACCGACATTGAAGAAGAAAGTAATCCTGAATGACCGCTTTTGACTGAATACTCCTCCCTCGCGGAAGAGTGATATGATATTAGTCTAATATCTATTTAATACCTATCGTTTTTAATGAATCAATTTTGTGTTTCCAAATCCATCGATACGGCTGTATTTTTTCGCGTGTCAGTGTTTTCCTTATTTAGTAAATATGGATTTGAATATTTCTTTTAATCTGGCGGTAGCATTTTTAATGTCTTAAAAAAAAGAAATTTACATGATACTTGGAAGTTTATCATTCTTTAAGACAATTAAAGGAGTCGACCGTAATCGGGATCACCGAATCAATGCGAACGATCGTTTCCTTAGCTGAATCGTATGTGCTTCGCCAGGGCTAAATACAATAGTTTTTCTTCTCCTAGACCGGTTACCGTCGAAGGTAATCGAACCCAGTCTACCCTACTATTTACCCATAACCGGGGAGGGGGAGAAAAGTTGGATTCATACCTTTCAGAAGGGTATTCGTGAGTAAGTGAATGTAATGAACTCGAACTGAAAATTAAGCCTGAAATAAATCAAAGTGAAATAAAAAAAAAAATAACACTTCATCAGTTTTGAATTTTGTTAGTATAAATTTCGTTATTCTTTTCTTAAATTCAGAATAATTAAAGAACCCAACCCCCGTAATTCGGTGCAATTACATATTTTATGATAGCAAACAAGGAAGAAAATAAAAATAATACGGAACCGTCATATAGCCTGACGTGCCTTAACCGATTGGTGAATAGTGTTTAAAACAGTAAAATCGACCTTGCTAACCGAACGCTCCTCTGTGGCTCAATCGGTTAAGGCACGTCAGGCTATATGACGGTTCTGTAAAAGATATAGGTTAGATGCCTGTCGGAGGACACATATTTCCTATGAAAATTTCTCGAAACATTCAGGTCGGTAAATGATGTTAATACTGTTTATTATAAAACAGAGCATTTACTTAAATATTTGTATCTATAAAAAGGACGTATAAACATAAAAAATGTCTTAAAAATAATTGTCGGACTTTGTCCATTTCATATATATATATATATATATATGCGTGTGTGTGTGAGCGCGCGAAATCGCGTAGAATGGACAAAGTGTGTTAAGCCTGTAGGGGAGTTTTTTTTTCTAACGGACAAATCGTTTGATGTCAGTTGTGCTGAATTTATACCCTATGTTCTGAGTCTTTTCGACTGCCATCGGTCGTTTTCAAGGGAAGAAGGTAAAACGTTCCCACCTGACATCAAACGACTTACTTGAACAGCAGGTGTAATCCCCCCGTCAAAAAAATACTTAGAATACATTCCCTTCCGTTCTATTTAATAAACGAAGGATTGCAGCCTGACACTATATTTAAAATATACATAACTGTTTGTATGTGTATGTATGTGCGTGTGTGTAAATATATATACATACATGTATATAAATGCCAAACAGTAGAAGGATGTGTGAGTGTTTGAGAGGATATACGAGTTCGAATACAAAAGTGCAAGGAAGCAAATTGAATATAGTGTGGAGATTTGTCGCTAAATTTTTCGAAGGGTACGGTAGAAGTAACATTCCCTAAGGTAGATAGATGGAGCTAGCTAGCTAGATAAATACGAACTGACTGAAAATATGAAGAGACGAGGATATATATATATATATATATATATATATATATATATATATATATATATATATATATATATATATATATATATATATATAAACAATAAAAAAAGACATATTTTTAATGTTTATTATATTAAAAATATAAAATAGCGACAATTTAACTATCGCAAACTGTATATGAAGAGACAAGGATAGATAGATTTAGATAATGATACGAATTGACTGAAATATATGAAGAGAGAGGATATATATATATATATATATATATATATATATATATATATATATATATATATATATATATATATATGAACAATAAAAAAGACAGATTTTTTAATGTTTTAACATTAAAATATAAAATAGCGACAATTTAACTATCGCAAACTGTATATGAAGAGACAAGGATAGATAGATAGATAGATAGATAGATAGATAGATACGAACTGACTGAAATATATGAAGAGACGAGGATATATATATATATATATATATATATATATATATATATATATATATATATGTGTGTGTGTGTGTGTGTGTGTGTGTGTGTGTGTGTGTGTGTGTGTTAGGCATAAAGAATTCTTTTAAACAAGTTTTGTTAGACATTTCTGTCAAGGTCTGTCTGTTCAATATTTTATTAATTTTTTTTTTTTTTTTTAATTTCAGACTAAGTTTCTTTTGTTTTATACAATTGGTAAACTTTTCAAAGTTCAATTTTGTTTTGTGTTTTAAAAAAAGAAGAATTTTGAAGAGTTTACCAATTGTATAAAACAACTTAGTAAGAAATGGAAAAAATAAACATATCTTGGCGATATTTTTCAGCAATATACATATATATATATATATATATATATATATATAAACTTTGGAAGAAAACTGTCACATAAATATATCTTTTTATAGCTTTAAGTTGATAAAGGTCACGTAGGTAACTGTATACAGTTACCTCACCAAGACAATTTAAGGCTTACGGCCATATCACGTTGAAACACCGCTTCCCGTACAATCACTGAAGTTAAGAAAGGTCGAGCATGGTCAGTACGTAGATGGACAACCACTTAGGAATACCAATTTCTCTAAGCTTGGATGTGCAGGTGGTATAATAGCTCGGAATTGTTAATCGGAGAGCTGAGTTCCAATTTTAGTTGGGTTCATTATATTCACCTTTGCACAAATATCTTTGAGAAAGGTATGAATTAACTTTGTCTCGCCCCCAGCTATGGATTAATTAGTAAGACACGTTTCACTAAATCATTATTACCTCCAAAAATATTTCTTACAATCTAAAAATATTTTCTGGCGTTAAATAACCTATAAAGTGTTGATAAGTCATAAAACACGAATTTAACAATTAAAAATCCAAATATACCGTTTTATTAATGAATAAATAACTACTGAATTGTTATGGTAAGTTTCTGTGTAAACAAGATTTTGTAAACACCAGGGATTAGGAGAGATAGCAAAAAACACTTTTCTAAGAGTTACAGAGCACAGGAAAATGTGGAGAGCCATGAACGATCACGCTCTGAAGGGACACAACAGATAGAAGACAAAGAAGAAATAATAAGAATAAATATTTTGTGCACTTCACTATAAAGCGAAGTGTTAGAGAGATAGTGTAGCAAATCAATGCGTTCGATTCTAAGTTACTGATCCACACAAATCGCTTTGAGTCGTTGATTGGTTGATTTAGTTGTTTTAAACGGTTTATCAACCCTTTGTGGGTTATTTAAAGTCAAAACACATTTTTTTTTAAGAGTTTTTTTTTTTTTTTTTTTTTTTTGCAAATAAAAATTACATTAACAATTTTTTGAGAATTTTCCAGATGCAAGTTCTACTTTAACAGTAGCTAAAGTGGACGTAACCAATCAGACTGGAATTTGAACTCGGCTCTCCAATTTCTCATTTAGCTATCAATTACACCGTGCACACATCGTAGCTTTGAGATAGAATAAGCAAATGTTATGGGGTCCACCCCTTTTTCATATAAGTGGACTCGACCAGAGTGTTACTGGGACTGCTGCCGTTAAATACCCTGAGCCAGTCAGAATATACGGAGATTGAGAGAGATAGGTAGAGATTGAGAGAGTGAGCAGAGATTATGATTGAGTTGGAGGTAGAGTAATAGTTGGAGGTAACCGCTTGTAGAAGTCAGTTACAAGCACGTTGACTCTAAGGAAGTCCTACTTCGAGAATGCGGGAAAGTAAAGCCTCTCTACTCGACCTGTGCTTTACCTCTATCCCCGAATCCTGCAGCGCCTCGCAACTATGCCCACTTGGTAACTCTGACCATGCAGTAGTATCGGTTAACATCTCCTTTAACTCTACCCCCTATAAAGAACCTCCTACCACTAGAACTTCGTTCTATTATCAACGAGCTGACTGGGACGCGTTCTGTGATTTCCTCCGCGATGTCCCCTGGGATGGAGTCTTTAAGCTCCCCGTCCAAGAATGTGATTCTGAGGTCTCTTCTTGGGTTAAAGCTGGAATCGACGCTTTCATCCCATCAAGGAAGTATAGGGTTAAGTCGCGCTCCTGCCCCTGGTTCTCGGCTGCTTGCTCAGCCGCCATCGCCCATAGGAACCACTACTTCCACCTATACCGTAGCGACATGTCTGACTGCAATAGACGTCTCTTTGCTGCCGCCCGTAACGAATGTAAGCGTGTCCTAAATGATGCTAAGTCACTATTTGCGGCTCGAATGAAGGAACGTATTACATCTCGAAAATTTGGCTCCAAAGATTATTGGCGTCTCTGCAAGAGTGTATTGAATAATTGCAAACCCTCTATACCTCTTCTATTCAACCAGTTCGAAGTCTTGACCTCCTCTACCGACAAGGCTGAATGCTTTGCTCGGAAATTTTCATCCAACTCGACGCTCGACTCTTCTGGTGTACCCATACCCGACTTCCCTCTTAGAACTGAGGCCATATTGAGTGGGTTAAACATAACCCCAACTTTGGTACTGGGCGTTATCTCCAATTTAGATCCCAACAAGGCGAGTGGTGGAGATGGGATACCAGCCATTGTCTTAAAAGAAATGCGCGCCTGAACTGGCGCCCGCCCTTTCGAAACTATACAACTACTGCCTCAAGGAATCTTGTTTTCCTGACTGCTGGAAGTCCTCTTCGATCGTTCCTGTCTTCAAGAACTCCGGCGACCCCTCTGACCCTTCCAACTACTGTCCTATCAGTCTCCTTCCCCTCTTCGGCAAAATCTTCGAAGCTCTAATCAATACCGGGGTGGTTAACCACCACATCCCATAATCTGCTCTCAGACAAGCAATATGGTTTCCGCTTTGCCAGATCTACAGCCGATGTGCTCACAGCCATCACGGAAACAGTCTACCGAACTCTCCAAAATAACGGGGAAGCCCAAGCCGTGGCACTAGATATCTCAAAGCATTTGATAGGGTTTGGCACGCCGGCCTTCTCCGCAAGATCCAGGGTTATGGCATTACGGGTCAATTATATAACGTAATACAATCATTCCTGTCAAACCGTGAATTGAAGGTCGTTCACAACGGATTCTCCTCCAGTTCCTATCCCACGAACGCAGGTGTTCCTCAAGGCTCCATCCTAGGCCCCACTCTATTCCTTATCTATATAAATGACCTTCCTGACGCCGTAACTTCTCAAGTCGGCATCTACGCGGATGACACCACAATTTATTCCTGCCTCAAAAACAAATCCAGTCTCGCTGACAAAACTCACCTTGCCGTGCGTCTCGAAAAGGACCTCCAATCGATTGTGAAATGGGGCATGATTTGGCTGGTCAACTTCAACGCTTCGAAGACAAAACTGCTCTCTATTAATCACCACAGAGAGCCTTCCCTTCCCTCCATTAGAATGTCTGACGCTCAACTTCTCGAGAGCAACTCTCTGCGGCTTCTCGGTCTCACGTTGACTGCTGACCTGAGATGGAATAAATACATCGAGTCAATTGCCTCGTCCACTGCGAGGAAAGTTGGCTCCCTGAGCCGTGCTAGGAAGTTTTTCTCCCCTGAGTCGATCCTCCAGATATACAAATCCACAATTCGCCCTTGCATGGAGTATTGCTGCCATATATTGTCTGGCGCCCCTTCTGTTTGCCTCGGGGTTCTTGATAGGCTCCAGAAGCGGATATGCAATATGGTTGGCCCTGCCCTGGCGTCTCGTCTACAGTCACTTTCTCACAGACGCACCGTCGCCTCCCTCTGTCTGTTCTATAAATACTTTCATGGAAATTGCTCCGAGGAACTGCATTCGCTGGTTCCCAAACTTCATGAGTTCAAGCGCCCTACGAGGCTGGCATCCCGCTCTCACCCCTTCACTGTCGAAACTCCTAAATGTAGCCGTCTCTTCTACTCTAATAGCTTCATGTCTCGCACCTCTCGCCTGTGGAACTCTCTTCCCTTCTCCTGTTTCCCTGAGAGTTATAATCTCCAGCTATTCAAGTGTAATGTCAATCGACATCTCCAGTTGCCTTAATCTATCTACTACCCTCATCCTTTCTTCTATCACTCCTATCTGATCTTCCTATTTTCTGTAACCCCTTGCGTCCTAGTGGCTCCCCCGCCTTGCTTGGGGTGAAATGCTTATATATATAAAATATATATATATATATATATATATATATATATATATATATATATTATTACGACTAACCGCGTTCCTGGATTTACTAACAGAATTACCCATTGTATTATTGTGTAAATACATTTCATTTCTTATCTTTATTTCTTGCGTTTGTCATTCATTGGAGACTGAATTTCATCTCAGAATCCACAACAGCAAATTAACTTCTGTTAAATCGATTCAGATATATGTGTATATGTATTTTAACACAAAATAACGCCGACTCGGACTGAGGAATCGGAGAGCCGAGTTCAAATTCCAGTCTGATCCATTACATTCACTTACGTGCTAACACCCTATGGGTAAATAGCAGGACAGACCGGGTTCTATCGACTTGGTTGGCAATTGGTCTACCGCAGAAAGAAATCCCAATCTACCTATCAAACACTGTGTATTACATCTATCGGCCTGTGCATTCGAGACGCAGTTTCGTTTCCTACTGAGAAATGCATTTTCTTTACTAAGCTTTCGCGAATACGCAAAACAACAGACGTAATACACACTGCTTAATAAATAAAATTAAGCCTTCTATAATAATTTAAGATTAGAACGAAAACAGTTGAAATTTCAAAGATACATAATGACGAAAGATAATTTAACACTTACAAGACGAAGCCAAGAGGGAATCAGTGAGTAACTGTTGTAGGATACCTAGGACGATAATGGGTATGTCCCCATTCACATTAATACAGTAGTAAATACTGTATGTTGGTCTGCAGTTGGAGATTAGTCTCCAGCTGTGCTGGGGTCAAACTCTATGCCTCCGGGCATATAGGATCCCCAGACGAGGTTATGTCGAAGGGCAGAGTCTCGTCTCGGACAACAGCTACCAGATCCCGTTTTATACGAGGTCTACGGGGAAATTTTGGCCGAGCCAACGGGATTGGATACCCCACATTGAATCGGCCTTGTGCCACATCTGACCGCGTAGTACGGTTGGTAGATATCCTGCAGTTGGAGATTCATTGTGGAATTTACTTGACTCACTTCTACCATTTGACTACTACTTCTAAGAGCTGCTGGCGAATCATTTATGTGTTGTTCTTGTCCTAAGTAGTATCGTTCATTACCAACCTTCGTGTGATTATTCTGTTCAGTAACCTTCCCTAAGTTAGAAGAGGCTTGTGTAAACAGTTGCCAGAACAGAAATTACTCATGAATACATAGTATAGGAAGTTGTAGAGAGCCATGATCGCCCACTTCCTGAAGGGACAGAGAACATAAAAAACAAGAATATATATATATATATATATATATATATATATAAATCTGAAAAGATAAAAAGAGACAGATCTTTTAATATCTATTAGGTGTGTGCAAATATTTCCAGAGAATACAGAGTTTCGTGTTTTCAAAATGCGATAAAAGTTTGGTACAGATTTGATACTGTAAGAATCGAACAAGCTATAATAGATCTATGAGAAAATATTACAACGCAAGGCGAAGTGCTCTA